CACAGACAGAAAGGCTTTGCATCTTAGTGTTATGAAAAGTATGTATGTTCCAAAACCACTCTGTGGCACCACTCTCTGCCTCCATCAGCTTCCCTATCAAACCAGTAATTGCTTTATCCCCTCAAGTCCATTAATTTTCTGTCTGCTGTGCCACCCAATTATTGATTTCTCCCCTCATCCTGATCAAATCCAGCTCTCCTTCAGCTTGCCCATGTTCTGCTCTACAAGGGCCTGTAATTGCCTGGTGTCTTCCCATCCACTGTTGCCACCACATTGCCCAAGGCACTCATTTTTGTCAGCTGAAAACTGATGTAAGTCAGGCTGTTGCTCCAATGATCACAGCACAGAGACACAATCACAGCACAGAAGTTCTCCCTCTGTCTGCCTCTCAAAAGCTATTACTCCCCATAAATGTACAGAGACAGGCAATTACTTCTGCTGCTGTTAATTGTTTCTCCAGGTGAGAGGGGCCATGTCATTGGTGCCATCCTCTTCAGTGTTACAGTACTGGGAGCTGGCTCAGCAGGGTTTTGCTGGGAAGGGAGTGAAGCTGCCAGAACATCTCCACACTTGTGTGCCATGGCACTGAAGTTCGTGGGTTTAGGATGAAATAGCAGAAAATCACTTGAAGAAAAAAACCCAAGGCTGCCTTTTGCAGTAATTTCATTGTTTATGTACTGAGAACAGAAAAAGAGAAAAAAAAATAGAAAATATCTGTGTGTATGGGGGTGCATGTTTGTATTGTGTGGTATAAGGCAGTTAAATTAGCTGATAGTTTCTGGTATAACCACGTATTTACTCTTTTTTAAGGTCATTGCAGCACTCATTAACGGTACTGGAAGACGTTATTTGAATTTGATCGTTTAATTTTCATTTTCTTCTCACCACAGAGGAGCCTGTCTGTGCACCTAATGTGTTCAAAAATCACATAATTGCTGGCTTCAGATTGCACCTATTTTGAGCAAATGGGTTTGGGATACACAAAAGGCAGCAGCAGCTGCTGCAGAACTGTCAGGGCTGGATGTTCTCAGGGCTGGAGAACATTGAGCCTCCTGCTCGTTCACAAGGAGCACTCCCAGCAGCAGAGACTCTGGTGACAAGTGGAGCTTGAGAAACTAATGACAGACACACGAGGACTCTGCAATTATTGATGAATCCTCTTCAGAACGCCCGTGGTTAAAAAAATAAGGCATTAAGTGGTTTATTTTAGATAACCCAGAGTATTCCTTAGGATTGTAATAATAGTATTAATATCTCCAATTTAGTTTCTTTCTAGATTTCTGTCTGATACCAGTTTGTGACCTCTGCTAGTTCATAACATTTTAAAAATCACTGGGGAGCTCTAGTGTATTTTCAGTTGTAGTTTTTCTTCTCTGTGTGGTAAAATAGAAAATAATCTGAGATTTCAGAGTATTTGGTGTAAAAGAATAAAAATATTAGAACTAGAGAATGGATTAGAGAGAAATATCTTTCTCCTATGTCCTCACACCCTTTTTTGGGGTGTTTTGGAGGTTTGGGGGTTTTTTAGGAGTATTGTTAAAAATACTTTGTAACAGGGAAATGTTCCCTGAACTCCCAGTCTGCACATTTCAGCTGAATTTCTCAGTTCCTCTGCTTACTGGTTTTCCTAGACAAGACTTCCACTAATTTTTCCTGCCTCCTGTCCCAATGGTTATTATTCTTACACCTTATATGCTTTTCCTCACATATTTCTTTCCTGTTTTCCCATGTTGCTGGTGGTTTTTTTTGCTTTTCACACTTTCTCTGTGCAGCTGCACAGGTCAATTAACTTGGAATTATGAAGAGAAGCAAACTAGGGGTGGAACAACAACAATGAAGGGATTTCTGTGGGGATGTCTGAAAATGCTAAAACTTGAGTGTGGCTCTCACTTCACCTTTTAGTGTTATTTATGTTTATATTTAGTATTATTAGACTATCTTTAGTCTTTACCAAGGGTAAAATAAAACTAGTTATTGTTTCTTTTCAATGCTTCAGGAGCAAATCCCTGCCTAAGTCAGTCTGAATAATAATAGTGTGTTCTTCTCGTGGCATTTGTAGCCCCTGCCACCTGAAAATCATTATAACTCGCTCAGTCTTTTGAATCTCTTCATGTTACCAGGATTGTCAACTTTCTAATGAGAAAATACCAACACTTAAAGGACAGGGATGCAATTTGACTTCTTAACTAGGCATCTCTTTTTAAAAGCACAGAATAACTTTCATACAAGAAGCCATGTTCTCTTTTTTGTGAATAACCCTGGGGTTTTTTTGTTTAAAAAGACATTATTCCTCTGTTGGAGGTGATGATAATATGTGGATAATTTGTCCACTTCCTAAGCAATGATTGTGTCTCACTTCCATGGATCTAGTTAGTGGATTACAAAGCCAGAAGTGACAGCTATGGCTATGTAGAGCAATTTTTAGACTGCAGATTTCCCTGAATTAATTCCTAATTGATCAATTTGAAAATATTAATACTTTTCTTTTTACAAACAATCTAAGATTTTCAAATCCTGGGGAATCCATTGCCAATTGTGATTAATTAAGCAGAAAAGACACTGTTGTTAGAATAAATTTTGCTGTTTGCTTCCATTCTGGTCTCACTAGCTCTTCGTCTTTGCCCCTTACAGGTTTGATTTAGACAGGTTCTGCTAAACATACAAGTTTTACTGCTGTTTGTGAGTAGGGTTGCTTGAGCACCTTCTACCTTTTATTCAAGCCTCCAATAATTATCAAAGGGTTTCACGGGCAAATGTTTAGCAATTCAAGGAGGTGCAGAACTAACAAGGTTACTTGGTTTCTTTCAAAAATAATTTCTCCATGGAAGCTGCCTTGCCTTCCTGTGGCTCAGGTATTAAAATTCTCATTCTGTGAGGGGGAAAACTGAGTCTGTGTACGAAGCTTCAAATAATTGGCTTTCTTTGGGTGACAATATAGGCTTTGGTTACAAAGCCCAGATTGCTCAGAGTGCTGAAGCACAGCTGGTGTTCTTTGAAGAGGGAAGTTGATGTTTCACATTCTTGGAACCTTGGGAACATTTTGAGATTGATCCTGTGTTTTTTCCATGGTAAACTGGATTATTCAGAGAAATGCTGCTAATGAGAAGGCAAGCCTGTCATCTCTCCAAGTGTGGTGTGACACAGGAACGAGGAGACACAACCTGATTACAAGTGGCTGGTTTTTATGTTCACACATAACTACAAACACCTTACAATACATGTCTTCCCTAGCGTATCTTAGGAACACTCTTGTCTGATCAACAGGGACATTCCACAGCTGCTCTTTGAGTATGAATAATAAATTGCCCAAGAGTAGCCCCACAGCTTTATTTAAGACCTGTTCTTCCACGAGCTTTGGTTTTGACACAAGTTAAAATGTAATCCCTCTAGTAGGTAAACACAAACTCCTGCTTTAGAAACGAACAAAAAGTGCTTTATGACACACACTAAATGGCAAAAGAATTCCTTGAGAACAGATAAATACCTGCCCAGAGAGTGTGTGACTGTGCTGCAGGATGAACTTCTGAGTGGTCCTCAGGGTCAGAGCCACAAACTCCTTTTCCAGAGCCAGTCAGAAAACTCCATGGATTGATAATTACAGTAGGCTGGGCTGTGACAGAAATGAACTCTGCTGCTGAGCTGAGCATGCAGGTAAAGATTGAAACTGGGATTAATTACAGTTAAGACTTGAGCACTTGGACAGGTGTTGAGAATTAAACTCACTGGCAGCAAACTTCCTACAATGTTGCCTCCCCTTTCTTTTGTTCACACAGACACACTTTGCAGAATCATCACTTGGTCTCTTTAATGTTATTTCCCGATTTTTGAACTATTTCTGACATCTGCCACTCTAAATAAGTATTCTTGGGGTGATGTTTGCCTCTGAGTTTACCTTGAGGTGCTCATGGAAAATTCCATAAGAAAATAAATTCCATTATTAAATGTTTGCAGAGCAGCTTAGGTGATACAGGTAATACAGATGTCACCATAAGGCATAATGAGAAGAGTGATCTGGGGTGTTACACAGAGGTTACAGTATTCTCTCTTTCCATAGTAATGTACCTGGCCTCAATCCAAAAAATAAGAAAAATTCCAGAGCAACAGTAATGAAGTGTCTATTTTTTTTCCAAAGAAAGTGATGATCTAAATGAATGAAGCTTGATAAATATGATAGGAAAAGTCACAAACCCACTGTCAAGCATGATAGGAAAAGTCACAAACCCACTGTCAAGCATGACACACCTGGCCATAAAAAGAACCTGTCAGACAGAGCTGAGAAAAAACTTGGGAGAATCAGTATCAGAATTCAGGCAAAAGATAGAATAAATGGGGGGGGGGGGGAAGGTTAAAATGGTAAGAAATTAATTATTTGCCTTTTTAAAGGAGCTTTTCCTTTCTGATTGTATTAATTTATCACTGAGCCATTACACTTTCTTCCAGCATGAGAGTGAGGAAAGCTCTCTTTTCTATAAGTAGGGCAATTTCAATAATACTTTACTCATTCCTAAGAGTTTGGCTCAACTACTTGAAGAAATCGTACACACATAAATGTCACAATAATTGGTTTCAGACAATTCAGAAATTGCTGAAAGTTTTTCTCTTGCAAATTTAGAAAGTTAATTATGCTAATCTCCAAAAAGAAATGACTGAGGTAATCCCATTTCTGGTCTCTAAGCTGTAATTTTTTTCAACCATCCAACGATTTTAGGAGTAATGTGCATTACTGGTTTTACCTTTTGCTTTGAAACTTCATTCTCTGAGGACAAGTCAGTTTTCCTGTTGCTTCTGTTTCTGACAAGCTCATAAAAATAGACAAAAGAGTTTACAAAGTGAATTTAGCTTTGAGTCAAAAGTAAAATGATTCACACCTAAAGCGATGGACAGCACACAGAGAAGTAGAAGGTTTGCTATCAAGAAGGCTTGGGCTGAGAAGTCACCCATTGATGATCAGCCAAATAGTGAACAATGTCTGATTGCCAACTTCTTGTTTTGTTTTTCAGTTTGATGCTGACAGAGATGAAGAGGAAGTGTTCTCTGACATAAGTTCAGCAGTTGACAATAAACTATTTGCAAACAAAGAGGCTGCAGCAGGTGAGTCAGTGTAAGATTTAAGGAGCCCCATTTGTTACACTGCATCTGACCTTGGTGGGATGCTGTTTTCACATTCCACAAGTGTGGATATATGTGCTGTAGGAGAGTCTGGACTGGCCTCAAACATTTGCACAACCAAGGGAAAAAAAATCTTTTTACACTTGGAAGCTTCATACAACCCACCTAAAAACTTCTCTACAAGTTAACCTTAAAATACTGTGGCAAGTCCAGTAAACTGTGTTATTAGAACAAAAACTTTGTAAGTGGGTCAAGTCCAGCAATACCTCAGTGTTCACCAGAAAACCAGTCCTGTGAGATTAGTGATTATACTTCCTCCCTAATAATAATACTAATTCTGAAACTGCGTGGGAATAAAAGTCAGGTGTTTGGGGCTTTCGTTTATTTGTGTATTTATTATTTGTGTTTACTGAGGTTTGAATGTCTTCAAAGAAAAAGCCTTTGAGGGGCAAAGGACTGCAAAAGAATTGAAGCTAAAAATCAAAGCACTGAATATATGTAACATCTGTCAAATATTTTGCTTGAGGGGAACAGAAACATGTTCTTTGGTAACTTCACAACTTCTTTTTACAGATGACATCCCTGGCTGTTTTTCAAATAGACCATGAGGGTTACATAGGTAGATGATACAATAAATGTCTTCTGAAACAGCACAGAAGAAGAAATTTCTAGGGGAAATGTGTTCCTGTAAAATTTACTAGCTTTATTACAACAAATGTTATAGATATATATAGTAGAGAAAATCATGTATCTGATCTCTCCTCTGTTTAAGGGAAAACTCATCTCCCATAAATTGGCAGGCAGAATAGACTCATTTATTTGTAACTGTGAACAATCATTTGGGCCCTGCCAAGGAAGGAGGAATTGATGAAGCACAAGGAAGTAGCAACACATCTGTTGTCTCTTTTTGACAAAGGGGAGATTATTTTTTCCTGCTAGAAGGCATCTGCAAAGAGCAGTGCCTCGGACAGGAAGATCAGGTCATGTTTTGAGGAGCTGAAGGGCAGTTCCGAGCTCGCTGGCCTACAAAAGCCCCCCATAAGGGTATTTTTGATCATGTTCTAAACGAGACACAGATGAAGGATTGGGGGGGGGAGGGCAGGGAGAGGGCAGGGTTTGAAAGGGGGCTTGGGGAGGGGAATTGAGAATTACAAAAAGTGCACCAGCTGAAAAACCACAGGTTTCTAATGGTCAGCCTCAAGCTAAGATGCACACAAGAATAAAGACAACTCCCTGTCTCTGTTCAGTGGCACACTTACCTCTTTTGTTCTGAGCCTCATTCAGAGAGGCAAGAGGTTGATTCCAAACCTAAAATGGCATTCCCACCATACAACATGTTGGTAATTGCCTGTGGATTCCCTGATTAAATGAGCTCAGTGCCAAATAGCAAGAGGAGAGAAGTGTCATGAAGGTGCTGGCTCTGACAAACAGCTTGACAAGACCAAAACAATTTGCACAAACCAGTTGTGATTCTGGAGGAGTTCCAGGCAGTTCCTTGAAAGTCTGATCTACTTAATAAATCCCTCACCAAACTAATTGGAGAGCTCTGAGCTGTAGCAGATGCCATACCACAAGCATCTAATTGGTGCCTAACCTGAGCACTGATAACAGTCAGGAGGTTTGAAGTAGGATTTCTGTGAGATCAGATATTTAATTTCTAGAGGTTGCAATTCCAGCATTGCCTTGATCTCACTTTTTGTCTTTTACCCTTATTAGTGATATTGCAATATATTGTGGTTCCTGGTAGCTACTGTAAACATAGTATTTCTAATATTTTTGTGCCTCCACACCAATCTAATTCACGTTATAGCTGTAAAATCCAGTTATAATTGACGTTGTAACAATATATGCTGAAAGAAAACAACTGAAATTTTTATAGATTAAAATACAGTTTTCTCATTGTTGCCTTCTACAGCATCTTAAGACTGTTGCCAAGAGCAACAACCTGTCATGAAACTCAACAATGTAAGGTTGCAATAAAATTTGTATTAGAAGCGTCTTACTGAGAGGAAAATTCAAATGTAATCATTCTAATGCTAATCAGTCCTTCAATAAATTATTTCTATAATATTCCACTTGAAATTTATCTTCTAAACATTTGTCTTGCCCAAGTGCTTACATGCAGCACGGATTAATTGAGTTATTAGATGGTGCTTCAGAGCATGTTCCATAACATAAAAGGACATTTTTGTTTTATTGAGCTTAAACATGCTATTAAGAGAAGCAGCATGTGTCACAGGGTAGGCTTAGATTACTCTTCTGACAGTCAGTGTTGAACGGGGCAAGTACTAGAGTTGTTAAAATATAAGCAGGGGCATATTTGAGCCAGTGAACCATACTGAGTAGAGTTGCTAGCAGGATTCCAAATAAGTAAGGGATTTAAGCAAGGTTTGGAAATACAGGAGCTGATTTGCCAAAACACAAATGGTCCAAGGAATAGACTTAATTAACCCGCATGATGGGGCATTGATGCCGTGTAATGGGAAGTTAAATCAACTGCAGATAAATTTAGGCAGATCAGTCCAGTTTAGTTTCATTGTATAAATGAATTCAGTGAAATGTGAAAAAGCAACACTTGACATTTGCATCCATGAAAACTTAAGGATGGATACACTTCCAGAGAAAGTGCCATGCACCAGGCTCAGAACCCTGGAATGTTTTGTAGGACCACAGACATTTATGGCCACGATCCCATGGGCTTTGGGATGGATTTCTGTGGCAGGAATTACACCCCTGCCCGTAGCAACCAGACTCTCCCAGCTTTCCATGACCAAACCTGTGCAATTCAGCTCGGGAGCAACAAGCAATGTGTGAAATGCAGTCTAAAATGTGAAGTGCAGCCTCCTGGTGAAGGAATGGGCTGAGCAGAGCTGTGCTCCCCTCTGGGGCAGGGCTGTCTCTGTCCTGGCTGTCAGACCATCCTCATGCACCTTTAATTCACCTCAGCCCTCAGGGCTCAGTTGTTGCATCCTCTTGGGTTCCTGGCAAGACAGAGCTTTATGAATGATGCCTTTGGTGTCAAGATACAAAAACGTGGCAAAAAAAAGGGAGTGCGTTGTAGCTGATCTGCTTTTTCTTATTTCATCAGCCTGCACCTCCCTGGAGAGCTGATTATTCAGTTAACAGGGATTTAATAAAAACTTGCAAGTGATTTATTTTTTAATTGGGCAGTAGTGTACCTAATAAAATCCTCTTTTCTTTCCCTAAGGAGAACACAGGGCACATGAAAATGTCCAGGTCTGCCTTGCCTTAACTTTATTCATGCAATTAAGGAAGCATGTTTTAAGCCCTAAGAGTACCTTTGCAGATCAGGTGCTTGCAAGTTGTTTCTCTGTGGCAGTAGAACTTTTATGCATTTTCTTAATTTTTTTTTTTAACTTGAGTTTCCCCTTTTGCAATTAATGAAGTTACTCAGATCACCTCAATGGGTTCATACAAGCATAGGAAGGTCCCAAGTTAACCAAGAGCTGAGATTATTTGGTGGAAGGGGACAACAAAGTGAGCTGGAGCATAGCAAACTCCTCCTGCTGCACCAGGGATATCAGAAGTTCTCTTACATGTCCCCTAATTCCTTTACCTGGTCCTGGGAGCAGCCATTTGCTTCAATTCATTTCTGGTAGGTTTGTCTTTAGGCAGTTTGAAAAGGGTAGAGAAGTCTGTACACTGTTCAGTGATGGATGGTTATGGGGTTGGTAGTTTTCATTAAACCAAGAAAGAAAACACAGATTTTTCAATTTGCCTTGAATAAACCCCAGAAAGAAGCTGTGTTTTCCCAAGGACACCAGCGTCTCAGTTCAAGAAAAAAGGCCTTAAGATGCTTGACCATATTAAAATTGTATAACCATTATGGCTTTTATCACTTAAGATACATTATGCATGAGTACTCATTTTCGGCCTGACCTTTGTATTTAAGTTTGCAGCACCATATTTCATATTAACGTTTCTAGCAAAGGATACAGACTGCTCTTGGTAGTTAAGTGACAGTTAATCAAGTGCCTTTAATAAAGTGCCCACAAGAAGTGATTGATGTGCCAGAGTAGGCCAGTGTCAGTGACAACTGAGGCTTAGATAAATTATATTATCAACAATGACACGGTGTTAAGAGCGAGATGTCAGCTGTGTAAAATAAATCAAATAGTTAAGATTCTCTCTATTTGGTTGCAAATATCTTTTAGAGAGAGGTATTTTCAAAAGACCATAAGCTGTATATGCCAGAGAACATGCTGCATATGTACAGGAGGTAGCAGGAGCTGTAGCAGGAGTATCATTCCTTTCTGTAGTTTTTTTTATAGCAATCTGATAAAGTATACATGAGCACTGGGGGTGGGGGTGAGGGAGCCAAACCAAACCCAGCAGCAGATGGTAGATGCAGGTCTTTCCCTGGTGTCTCTTATGTAGTCCAAAGAGTTAAATTGAAGATTAATTTGGCAGCAGTTGTGATACAGATTGCAAACTAAAACACCCTGGAATCATCCTCTCTACCAAGTTACAGTTTGGTCATCATGACATGCAGTTCCTCTGCTCTGCTCTCTCTCTTAGTGATATTTAGTTTGCCACCTACATAGATTATTACTGTGTAAACTTTAAAAGCAAACAAAGCCAGATAATACATAAATGTATCTGGCACGAACTGAACTGCAAAATCTGTTATTGATGGTGCTTGTTGCAGCGAGAGACCCACACAAACAATCCTAATGGTGAGAAAACACTGGGGCAGCAATAGATTTAACACTGTCTGTCCTCAGTGCCAGCAGGAACATCATACCAGGTAGGGACACCTGGAATCCAGGAGGCAGGGAATTGTTTTCTTTACCTCATTAGTGATCTTGTTTAGCTGGGGACACGTGGGCACAAAACAAAACACATCTTACACTTCCCCTGGTGTTACCACATGAGGTTAGTGATTGGACTCATCTGTGGCTGCTGGCTGGTTACAATTTTTAGATTTCTGTGTATCTTTACAGGATTTTTTGTTATTTAAATAACGCTGTGAAAAATACTCCTATAGTGTGCCTGTTGATGTTTTAATGTTTGTTGAACATGTGCAGTATTTGTTTTGGGGCTGCATGTTTGGAAGGACCCAGGAGACCATTCCTTTCTTATTGCCCAGGATTGAACTAATCCGAATGGGGTGCCAGTGCCAGAATATGATGTCCTTGCTATACCCTTCATGTGTGCATATAGAAAGATGGTTGGTGGTTTATCCTCCCATTCTGGTTTAGCAATGAGTACCCCCTTAGATGACTTCTTGAAGTATCAAGCTCAGTTCCTGTTGTCCTGCACCTTCAGCAGCTCAGCTGAAGCCAAACTGTAAAGCTCAGCCAGGTCAAGGCTTCTCAGCAACTGAATTTTGTCTTCCCACTTGCACGAGAATGCATTCTTGCTGGTCCTGCCAGGGGAAGATGACAAGGAGAAGGGGCAGAGCCACACAGTCACCTCAGAAAGGGTTAGAATAGGATGGAAATGGGGGCTTGACAGCTGGAAGCATGATGGTCCCCTGTCAGCATCACTCAAGGATCCTTACCTGCTAATCAGCAATTAGTCAGTATTTCCTTTCCTAAACGTGGTTGATATTCTCCCCCGAGTGTGGCAATTTTACAATTGCAAGTCATGGCACGCAGAACACCCTGCCCAATAAATATGCAGTGTAGCTAAAACAGTTCACCAGTCAGCATAACCCTTCCTTATTAAGATTTGGAGTAGCTTTTCTGGATGCTCTGAAGGCTTTGTTAATGAAACACCGTTCGCCAGAGTACTCTGGCACATCCGAAGGGTCCCTTGGATCACAGTTTTTGCATGGATACAGATGATTGGAAATATTACAGTGTTCCATCACATAAAGTGAAAATTTCCAAACCATTTCTGAAGTCTTAATTTTCTTTCCTATTTTAGGGTCAAATGAACTTGATTGCAGTCTGATTATGGATTCTGGAGATCCTGTTTATACAGAATTTGACTTTGAGGACCAGGTAATTTTCTGTATATATGGCCTCTCTCTAGGCAGTTTTCTAGTTCATGGAAGTGCTGTGCTATACAATGTGACTGAACAAGGTGGTGGAACTTTAAGGGTGCATAAGGCAAAGGGCTTCTTAAGTGCAACGTAAGTAAATTCACAATACACAGAGGTTGCTTTTTGGTTAGGAGAAAAAAGTGAATATTATTGTAGTATTAAGAGCCTATATCTTCCATTACTGTGCATTGCTGAGTTTCCTCCACACATTTTAAAATGTTGGCCCATGTGGTAAATGGAGTTCCTAGAATGCACTATAGGTCTGCTGTATATTTAAGAAGAGGAAGTAAAACACTTTTCAAAGGAGCAACATGAAAATACAAATTGTGAAATATAACTACGACCAAATCAAACATTCTCCCCTTGGAAAAAGATTTATCAGAATTAAAACCAACAAATGCTCACAGCGTGTTGAAACCAGCCTTTCTACTGATCTCGTTGAATGCACATCTAACAACTAAATTTTGATGAGTGTTTTCCTTGTAGAAAGAAGGCTGGAGAGGGGGAAAAAAAGTTTGTGTACATCTTTCCCCTGTAACCTTCACCTCCACACTGGTAAGGTCACAAAGTGAACCACGGCGGGTTCGTGTGGCTTGGATGCTGCACTGAGGAGCAGTGTTACTGTTCTTGTTACTCCGCTGTGGATAAGCATGAAAAGAATGACTTAGAATTAGAAGGAAGTATTTTTAAATTTTTAAAGCCATCTGCCTGTCACACCACCATACTTAAGGGTGGTGGTTTGGTATGTTTTGCTTTCTGCCTTCCACTTCTGCGAGACTCTGCTTGTGCTTCCTTCACAAACACCGCAAACACCTCTCTAGATTTGGCAAAGGATTTTAATCTGTGTTGCTGTTACCGTTCAACCGAATGCAGCTGCAGATGTTTTCACGTCTTCCCTCGTTATTTGCAAAAGATATCTTTCCTTGTGGCATTTTAAAGCTGGTGACAAAATCAGGGCCAACAAAACTGAATTTTCATTCAGTATCGTGGGGTTGTTCTTGGTTTTCTTTCACAGTCTTCAGTGCGACACTTTATCCTCACCTACAACGTGTTGTATGTTCTAGCCCTATTTCTTTTAATTTATAGATCCCTTTACTATTCTCTCTCTTTGGCTTAGTTATTTCAGCCTGGCTTTTTTCAAGGAGGCAGCTTGTCTCTGCCTCCAAATCCCATTTTAAATCCCTTTCTTTCAGAAACCCTTCTCTGCCCAGGAAATTCTTAAATTTCTCATCATCTTTGTCTTGACTGTACTGCTTCTTTATTGAAGGGTTTAGGCCTATAAAGCAAAATGCATATTTAAATTATGTTTGGCTATGTTGATGCTGAAAATAGATTCTTTTGGCAAAGTATGAACACTAAAGAAATTATACTCCTGATTCGTAATGTTTGAAATGCCGTTCACATAATAAGCCCAAGTTTTATAGATACAAAATAAAATTAACAGAAACATATGAAAATTATACTGAGACCATAACTTCAGCTGATATAGTTCACTGATGATACATTGCACAGCCCATAAAAGCACTGCCTGCAGTTTTGAATGCACGTGAGACTAAACAAGGAGACTGTGACAGGACCTTGTTGTCCCTGTCAGTGGCAAATATCCTTTGTGCCAGATGCGGCAGGCAGCTTTTCTCATTATTTGGCTAAATTTGCCATTCTGGCAGGAGTGCAGTACTGATAGCAAACAGAGAAGGAGAAATGAAGCCAAAGCAGGGCTAAAATCCCTTCAGTCAAGGACAGCTACATAAATATGAGGTGGCTGAGAATGACTCGCTTCAACCGCAGGGTTGGTATTTTGATACTTACTAGTGACGTTTTAAAACATGTAAATATTTCTATTGCTAAAGAAATATTTTTATACCCGGTTTATATGAGACGCCTTGTACAAATATAAAGAAAATATATGCAGGAGAAAGCGATTGCAACCAAAAGCCCTTGCCATCTAAATTTTGAAATTATGCAAGCAAGTGTTGTATACAGAAGCAGAGAAGAGCGTGGAGATTACCATAAAGTCATAATTCCATCTATCTGCCCTGTCTGAAAAACAAAATGAGAAATTACTCTCTGGAAGGAAAGATCAATAACTAAATTGAGGAGTGAGGAACTGCTCACATTGCAAACTTGAGCTCATTTTGACTGTGGCAGTGATTTAATACTCCAGTGATTTACCACATGCTGTTTACGAATTGTGTGAGGCATCAACAACCTTTACTCAGAGAATCTCAAGTGGAAAAAGAATGCATGTCTGGATACAAATGTGTCATGCAGGGATGTTATTGCATAGGAGATCTGTCATGAGAATGTGGAGGATAGGAAGGCTGGTTTCTAAGCAACCTTACCCAGCTGAGCTGCTAAAAATGACTGGATTTTAGGAGAACATCTTGGTAGTCACTGAACCAGAGGAGTTGGGGGTTACACAGCGTGTCCTGAGGCCAGAGCCACAGCTGGCAGGGGGTGTCACTTGGCACAGATGGAATGGACACACTCGGATACCATTGCATTTCCTCAGTCCTGGAATGAGCCAGGAAAATCTCCAGGGTAAACTAAGCCAAGAGAGTTCTTCAGATGCACACCACTTCTTCCAGAACAATGTCTGACTGGAGGCAGGGCCAAGGAGAAGGAGTGCTGTGGTTCCAACCACGGATGCAGTCATTAGCTCATGTAGGAGTGCTCCAAAATACAGCAAAGGCCTTCGAGGAACACTTGGTACCTGTTGCTGAAACACTGCAAAGCAACACTAATGTAGGCAAAGATCTGGCTTTCCTGAAAGGGGAGATGGAATTTAAAACAGCTCAGAAAAAGCTTGAGCTTTGTATTGTACATTTTATAAATGAACGTTCAATTAAATTCATGTAACTGAATTAAAAGCAAGCTGTTGATTTACTACTGGCTGTGCATGAACGCTTCAAGAACTAGAACACCCATAATCACTAAGTCCCTACAACACTGAAAGGCAGGAGAGAAATACCCACTTAAAAAAGAAAAAAAAAGAAAAACATTTTTTTCTCCAAATCATTAATAACTATTTTTCTGGGTTTTTTTTCCTCAGATCCTGGATTACAGAAGGAATAATCTAGTTTTTCAGAACGACCTAGAAATACATTCTGCTAACAAAATAGAAATAAATAAATAAAGCAGAGAGTACCTCTCATTGAGAATGCCTTGTGGAAGAACCAGCCAAACTTTCATGTGTTAGCAATCTCCATAGCCTTTTCTGGAATAACGATTACACTACTCAGGACTCGATTGGAAAACAGAAAAGCAAAGTAAAGTCATAGGTTTCAGATATTTTCACCCATGTTAAGACTTCAGGAATGTATTTTGGGCAACTCATTTTTGGGGGCAACAGCTTTATAGAGTGTTCTCAGTTTGCAGAACTTGCTGTCATGACTGGTGTCTGGTTTAATAAGAATTGGCCTTTGCTGCTGGAATGCGCTCAAGTGTGATAAAGGTTTTTACTGCTCGCTGTGTTCCTTTGTACTTGCCATTCAATTCCTCAACTTTGCCAGAGAGGCTGTCAATATAATGCCACTTGTTTCCAGAGATCAGACAAGTTTTGTTTTTAACAATTGGATTTTTAATTAGAAACCTACCATTTGGCTTATTGCAAGTGCATTCAGGCCAAAAGGGAGTATTAAAAAATTGGCATCAGGGAATCCTATCAAAGAGTTCCAGAAGAAAAGAGCATCCAGTTATTTTCTCATGAAAAGAAGCCTTTCAAGACAACCTTAGCTAATCTGAGGAATATTTAGACTAATTAGAGAAAAAGTTAAAACACACAGTCAGGTGACTGTAGAGTGAATACACTCCTGAACAAGTGTTTACGGAATTGATAACTTTAAAATTTGGGAAATGTGAATGTCAGGCAAACTTCAAGTAAAAAAGCCTCAGAAGTATATATAGCCCCTCTAAGTATTTTGGACAGTATTATTGGACAGTTTGGGTTGGAATGGACCATAAGGATCATTTTGTTCCAATCCCCCTGCACGAACAGGGACACCTTTCACTACACTGGGTGGCTCAGACCCAGATCCAACTGACCTTGGACACTTCCAGGGATGGGGCAGCCACAACTTCTCTGGGCAACCTGTGCCAGGGCCTCACCACCCTCACATCTGCAGAACATGGAAATGCATTTTTGTGTCTTCAGGGAAGTTACCAGTTCATAATTGAGGCATTTCCATGTCCTTGCAGTGTCAGAGTGCATTTACTGATGAAATTAGGGAAATGCAATAGCACGTGCAAAGAAGAGATTGTCTTTTTTTTTGCCCCCCCCCCCAAGGGTGTCAAAGATCTAGGAAAAGTAGATGTAAAAAAGACTGAAAGCTAATAAAAGGTTTTCTGTTCAGCAGTGACAAGCAATCTATTGAATTTAGAAGTGCATAGCCCGATCTTTTCTGCAAGTGCAGAATGTTTTATAATTAGCAAACGCGACAGCTCACTTGGAAAACTCACAAGCAGAACCAAAGTCAAGCGAAGGAAAAAAGCCCTGAAAGAGACTTACTCTCATTGTAACAAGACGAAACAAGCTCTTGATTAAAAGTTTTGCCATGTAGTGGCAATCCCTTTTCCAGCTTGCTGTGGTTTCCCATCCAAAGCACATGGGAATCCAGGCTTTAGGGGAGCAGGAGGAACTCCATTGCTACCAAGACTCCAACAATATTTCTGGCCTGACTAATCAGCATAGCTTGAAACTTAAATATTCAAGAGATGTAACAAAAAAGGTCCTGAGAGCCTTTTCAATGCAGAAGCAGAACATAAATATTCATAAAACTGATGGGCAACAGCAAATTGTAAGCCTCATTTGGATTAAACCAAAGACCATTTTCCTCCATTTACTGTGTTTCCTATCAGTTGGCACTTTGTTTTGATTGTGTTTTCTCTACTTGGAAGGTTCAATCCAAGTAATTTATTTAACCCTTCAGACCCAGTGCTCTGGGGTTGGTATTACAATAC